ACTGTTGCCCACGCCTCGGTGTTTTGTGAAATATTTTTGAAAACCAAACTCCCTTTATGTTAGCAAATGAAAGTAAGTGCTTTTCTAATCTGCAAGTTAGTGAGGTAAGGTGCGAGGATAACACATTGATCAATTCAAATTTACGGTGTTGCAGTTTCATTCATCTCTTGAAGGTCAGATCAAGCTCTGATCGACTTTTTGTAGCTGTCAATTTGCGTTTCCTGAATCTAAACCTGTAGTTGTGCACTGGTAAACCATATTAGATTGCAAACAGTCATTGTTATCAAGAACTTACACGCTGGAAGAGATGTGTAGCAAACCAAAAAATTGTGATAAGATGGTGGATGACGATGTTAGGCTTAGGTGAAACTGACTTCCTTGCGATTCGCTGGTTCCCTAAAATAATGATTTTATGCACGCAACACTCAATTCAGAAATGAGCGTTACTTTGTTTACTCACGATGCTATACATCACGCATCTTATTTGCAATTTAAACAAGGATATTGGTGGTCATTTGATGAGGCCTGAGGATGTAACTTGTGCAAATTCGTCTGATTTGCTTGTTTTTTCGTAAGATAACAATGTTTCCCAGGCAAGAATCACATGCATATTCAGTGTGCATTAACACCTTGGTAGATAGGTGTGTTGTACCGACAAAATACCGCTTTTTGACTATCGATTTGAATTACTTTTTCATACAAGTGATATTTGTGCAACCATCAAAAACGCGTGCCATTTCTCAGGGAATCTGAATGGTAAATGTTCCATAATTTCTTTCAAATTAAACTCTTAAATGCAACAAAGATTTGTGTTTTAAGTTAACTACATGGGTTTTCTTAAGTTAAAGCATTTAAACAAAAATTCGATTTTTAATTTGAAAAATAGTCAAATGTAATCAATATATGGAAGAAGGCCTTAAAAAATCGATACACGCTAAAGGTAGCATGATCATTTTGAATTCCTCACACTTTTGGGACTCTTTTCAGGCGGAAAAAAAGCAAAAAAACAACAGCAGTTCCAGAAGGTAATAGAAGACCGGTCTATGGCGGCTGGCATCAGGCAGATGCGTACCCTACGAGCTCCGGTTACGTCGCCCAACCGCAATACGTCCAACCCTCAGGCGACCACAAATTGGCCCCATCTGCAGAAATTCTGCACTACAAATACCAGAAGGAGCATGCGAATAACCAAGTGTAAGCTGGTTGGATGCATAAACAGCGTTCTGTGACACTTTTTGACAGTTTTATTTACTACCTGACGCCCTATCTAAATGCTCTTTGTTGTTCATCAATTGGTCTGGCAAAGATCAAGCTTATTCGCTGAAAATGATGGCGCGTATTTTTTTTCCACAGAACCCCCAGTGCACCACCAATGCCACAGCTTCCAAATGGTGAAGACTTCGTCTACGAAGTACCCGGTCTTGCGTCTGTAAGTTTTAAATACACTTTTTGTAGCTTTGGTCGTTGTCACGTTTGACGCCTGAAATCAAAAGCAAATTCAACCAAAATTCCCGCGCACACCTAACAGCCAATAGGAGTGTGCGATCAAAATTGATTGGCGTGCACAAAATTACTGTGACCAGGGACGTGATTAGTTGTAATTAATTGCATTTTCGTGTTTTTGTAGCAACAAACCGAAAAGGAGGTCTTGAACCCGCTGTACGACCACTAAGTTTTTACTCTCGAAGAATTCCAGCCCCTACGAAAAATCTTCCGTCGCGTCCCTCTCTACGGTCTGACTTTTGCGTTATGGTGCCTTTAGCTTTCACATTTATACACAGTCATTGCGTCGTTTGTTGCATTCAAAGTACGTGTACACTGAATTCGCATAGCCTGATGTCCTTTATTAAAACTTATCCGAATCAAATTCGCCTCAAACAGACGTCGGTTTTCCAGACTCACGGCTGTACTGGAATTGAAATATTTGGGAGGTATTGGATCAATTGCCTTAGCCAACAAAATTTGAATGATTCTGGTCTCAACGTCTGTGACCATTCTAATTCTTGACAAGGACTGTAGATCTGCTGTGGCGATGTCCAAACGAGTAAAAAATAGAAAGTTATTTTAGTTCGCATGTGCTAACGTCTACGTAATTGATCGCAGTTATACCTATGTCGATATAACTTGTTTTTGATCATTGTTGGTGCATAAGTGTTGTTTATAACCGGGTTTTCCTTCAGATAATTGTGCTCAGAATGCAAAAAATGTAAAATTTGCAACAGGGGTAGAATTCATAGACCTAACATGACAAAATGAAAAGACAAAGAAGCGATAAAATCTCAACCTTATATTGGACTGCTAGGTCAATGACGGGACTGACTAGCACGTGAAGGTGTGAAAGGAGTTGAAAATGCGTGTTCATTCAAATTAGCTTGCCGGAACACCGATCATGCCTACTCGGAGAGTAGTAGTTGGTCGCGGGAATGCCATGTTTGTAGATTTTCTAGGCGTGTGAGGTTTGTTTTGGTAAATCAACATTATTTTAAGCGGTAGATCTGAAAGGTTAGTCTTAATTATAGAGAATCAAGGAACCTTGGTTGTGATGGTAAAACATGCTCTTCTAGACCAGAATTGAAGGACTACTAAATTGTGACTATTGATCATTGCCAAGTAAGTCGAGACTGAGAGAGGAACTAGCGGTGACTAAGTCAAGATCCAATCGAAATTAGGGTGCGGGTTTTGGACTAGATATGACTGAGATTACAATGGTTCAAATAATTGCAAAACATATCGGGACATATCAGACATAATTGAATGTGATTTGCTGAACAAGTCCACCAACTAAGACTATCTATTTCAGTGATTGTAGATGATACATTTTTAAATAAAATTTGATTTCTAAATCTCACGACGATGATAATTATTGCTAATTTTGAATGCGGACATAGCAAGCAGCTTCCTTAAACTAGTTCGATATTTTAGGGTTAACCGCTATGATTGCGTTAGACATTAAGTTTACACAAGTTAAGAAAAACCTGCCGTTTTGTTAAGCATCGCACTGTCCATAGGGGAAAAAGCGTGCGGAATTCGGCGCAACAATGCTACTCAAGTAAGCAAGATAGCCAAGGACTCAAGACAAATCTCTGGATTAGAAACCAGAAATGTTTGTTTAGAGGGTACGTCTTTCAAACTGGTTAAAACATAAGCAACCTTTTGCAGTAAATCTGGGTTAATTACCTCCATAAAATTTTTTCGAAGAATACTCGTACTTACTGTCCCTCTTATTATAGTACTATCGCACAAACCTTTTCACAGACGTCCACAGTAACTCAATTTACTCATTTGGCCATTCAGTTAGTTGCACCTTTACCTGTTCACCCAGATTTTTTTTAATCAGACACGACCTTTATTGCTTAATGGGGCAACACAGCGAAATTCGTTATGCCATCCGATTAAGAGATGTATCTTCGATTTATCTGATTTCATGATTATGCAGTGCCAGGAATACAAAATACCTTAAAGAATATAATGTAAAAAATTTTAATCGCATTTAGTCCAAATTGCTAAAGATTTAATTAATTCGTTACAGAAGCAAAATAGTGGTGTCTTCTTTGAATACATAGATGTCTCTAAAAAGATGACCAAATTCGGTTACTGATTGAAGAGATCCAAAATAAGAAAAAAAAGAAAAAAATTGTTTCGCTGTGGATATTGAATATCATGCAAACATAATTTTTATATTGATTACTGCCGATTTTGATTTAAATAATTTAGTTTCTACCATCTCTGGTAGACTTAACTTCATATAATTTGTATCCTCAAAGTCACTGATTCTATCAATAGGATGTAACTTGATGCTTTTTAGCTATTTACGTGCAGCAAAAACAGTAGATTTCGTGGGCAAAACCTCCCGCCTGTGAATGTGGAAATATTCTCTTTTACGACCAGCAGGTGTGTTTCAGGGAAACTGACAGGACTTGAGCAAATTAAGTGTCCATCGACCAAACGGTAGCATCTCATTTGTCAGTACCTCAAAGTCAAAGTAAACTAAATATCAAATTACTGAATAAATTTTCTTGAATGAAATTGATTAGAACCATGTACTTGATAAGGCTTAGCACTTTAACTTTAATGATATGCACTTCGTCTGCAGTTTATTTCTGATTGTAGCCGAACTTCACATCAAACTTGGTCTGTTAGTTTGAGTTACCTGAATTTTTAAGATTTAATTGTGCTTTGCGTAGGGACTTGATGTGGAAAAGATACATGTACCAAGAATTTCTTTTTTAAAGTGTCACAAAGTAGAGAAGTGTGCAAGTGGTAATCTATCCAAGCTCTTAACCCTGGTTTCACGATTCACTATCTAGGTATTTCTCGTCAATCTGTGTCTGGTTAGTTTGTGATCTTATCGACAGGGATTCATTTTCACCAAGAATGAGGAATAGCAAAACTCATGGCGTTATTTAATGCCAGTACAACGGGCATTATGACTGCGCACTATTCATATGACTCGATTTTCAAATTTGGATTAAAATATATATAAAATAAACTGAGTTCGATTGATGAGCTTAGCTATCGCATCCCACAATTCTATACGACCCTAATTAAATTTATATTTTTAGTTTTTGATAAATAACTTTAAAGAACATTAAGAAATGAAATAAGCTGCAACCATAAACTAGCCGTGGGTTCATGGTATAATTTAATAAATTTTCTTGATCTGCCTAGTGTCTATTGGTTGTTAAATTATGAAATTAATTGGCCTATTGAAATTAAGTGAGAACATTTCGGCTCATTTTCAAATAATGTCAAAGTCAGATAGCGAGGTTTTTCCTTATCATTTTGTTAATTCCATTTAGTCTGGGGAGGAAAACGTTGAAATTCAGTTCGAGCCTAGTGCGTCACACCCTATTGTAGATTTAAAAACTTGCGAAGAAGATGAAACTTGTCTGTTTAGGGCGTAAGTGTAGTTTTTTAAGCTAAAACTTAGTCGTGCGAAGCTTTTTCGATTTGACGCGAAATCAGAAGAACCTGAATGGAAAGAGCGAGGCACAGGGGAATTGAAAATCCTTCAGAACCCAGAAACACTTCACTCTCGCGTCATGATGCGGCGAGATAAAACTCTGAAGGTCAGTTTAGTTGTAGTTATTCTATGGCTCTCATTTGTGTGCATCGTCGATTTTCTTCTAATATTACAGGTGTGTGCCAATCATCGCATCCTTTCCAGCATGAGATTGACACCCAGCTTCGGGACCGATAAAGGTTTTGTGTGGAAAGCGCCAAACGACTACGCCGACAATGAAGTCAAGACCGAAATTTTTGGCGTCCGATTTGCCACCGCTGATCGTAAGCCATAAAATTCCTCTTGTTTTTGTACAAAATGACCTGTTTCTGTGAGCAATTTTTTGTCTTTCAGTTGCGACTGACTTCAAGTCAGTTTTTGACAACTGTGCTCAAAATTCCGGTGACGCCGCGGCCAGGTCAGGTAAAGTGACCCCACATTGGTATTAATATCTTTCGTGACGCTGTTATAACGTTCTACCTGCTTTTGAATTCTTAATTAAGCTTTGTAAGTTTGTAAATTAGTTAGTTTTTTGTGTTCTGTTGTCCCCAAAATGATTTTTTTGGTCGAAACCGACTCGGCAATTTCCCTGACACAGACTTATGCAGTTAATTTTTTTCCCCGTGCTTCTAGATGCCAAATCGGAATCCAAACGGGACGCCGGCAGTGCCAAACCCGCTGGCAGCATTTCTGAAACTGCACCCGAGTCGAAGGAGGCAAATCAGCTGACCGAGTCCTTGTCCCAACTGGACATACAATCAGAAATAGGAAAACCGGCAACTAGCATTACCGCTTAGATCCAGTCCCCCCCTTCCTGTTGTGCTCCGAGAACAGATTGAGTTCCACACTATTTGCTTTTCTAGTAATATATCATGTACAACTATTATTTATTTGGTAAAAGGTAGTCGTTCGCAAGTGCGCGTAACGTCACACTCCTTGCTGTGTAACCGTTAATCGCGTGCAACCAACACTCAAGGTAAACTGTAATGTTAAGTATATTTAAAACCCAACTCAAAAATCACATATCAAATGAAAAGGGAGTAAAGTAGAAAAAGGAGTCGCTGATAAATGCAAGAATGCGCGACAGACAGTTACGAGAAATTCTCTCGACGGCTACTGCGACAGGGGGAGGCGCACTTGTTCGGGAAACACGCTACACAGCCGACGAAGGCAGCTCCGCAAAACGCCAGTGACGATGTCATCAGAATGAGTAGAAACACACCCATCTGATGATAGCACTTTAAACTGCTTGGTATCACAGCAGAACCAGCTATCGCAGTGCTGAGTGCGGCCCCGGTGACGGCGCAGCCAACGGTTTCCAGGGCAGTTCGACAGCGCTGAGACCATTCTAGGGTTGCCTGGGTCGATCGAACGATGGCGAAGGCCAGGTGTATGCAGGGGTCGACGGCCAAGCCAGCGGACAAACTGAGGATAAGGACTTCAACTATTCCTAGGGTCCACTCATCAAATGCAACCAGAAACAAGCAACAGAGAAGCAGCGAAGCCATCACTGACACCAGTGATGTAAATGCGAGGGGCAGATTAAGAGTAGACAAATAGACCAGGGAGGCGGCTAGGGTCACGGACAGTGCGATAGAAAGGGGCAGGAATTTGAGGAGGTCCTGGTACGTGTCGAAGGCCGCTAGCTCCTGGCTTACAACAAATCCGCGCGACAGACCACGAGGTGCAGTGGAGAGAATAGACGAGAACCACGACTGCAGTTCCTGGGTGTACGTCAGCATCTCAGAGTAGGTCGCGTTGCTGAGTGAGACATTGGCGACTGCAGATATGAGCAGGCCTACCACTTTACTCGAGTGTGGTGAGAACCGCAGGCCCGTGGGAAAACGCGACTTAAGAGCATAGGCAGCCAGGCAGGCTGCAGTGTCGTTTGAGCAGCAGGGTGATGTGTGCACGGATGAGCAATCGATCGACGCCATGTAATCACCGATAGAGAATACGTCCCTTCCGAACGGACACCGGGAGCTGCTGGACACGGGGAGCAGACTGGAAGCTTCCAGGTAGCTCCGACGCACGGGGATCTGCGGTGCGACAAATGAACGCGGCATCTTCGTGAGTTCCGTGCAGAATGTCCGCAACCAAGACTGTGCTTCCGGAGAGAGTATATCGAAGTCGCTGTCCCACGCAATGTGCTGTAAAGTGTCCTCCTGCGGCACCCACGTCCAGTGACTTCTCGGGTCTCGTTCAGTGACCCCCCAGACCATGTGAACCGTGACTAGACCTTGGTAGCGCCGCAACGTGTTCTCCGCCCACGAGAACTCATTTCCCCTCCTCTTATACACTTCTGTTGGGTGCGTTTCCTTGTAAAACGCCGGCTGCAGAGAACCCGCAGGGAATGTAAGTCGGCCAGCAAAGAAAAGAAAGTAGATGGATACACCGATCACCGCGAGTGTCAAAAATGGGAAGATAAATCGTACTCTAACTATGAGTGCCGCCAAAGAAACGCGTTTCTGCGGTGCGCGCAGACAGGTTCTGCGAGTTGGAGGGATGAAGAGGAGGAGGGCGACTGGCACGGTGACAAACACATAGAGCATGTGACAGGTGACGGTTAAGCTGGCGAACGCTGAGAAGCGCTTAACGGCCACTATGTCCGAGTTAAGACTGATCAAGAGACCGCCAAGAGTTGAGAGACTGGTTAGGCACACTGAGGGCACGGCGTGATTCAGGGTTGTAGCCAGCCGGACGCTCTTGTCCGTTAGAGATTTGACATCATCAGGAACTGGTTGGACGGACTTCCAAACCTAAAAAAAAAACATAAAAATTAAAATTTGCGCTTGCGTGACACGCTGCCAAATGGACGGTTTAAGGTTGTGCTGAAGTTGACCTAGCGTTCTACGAGTCAAGTGCAGAAACCAACACATCTGAGAGTCATCACTGGTGAATAGACCTAGGAGAAAGCTCATGGCATTCGTAAATCGTTGTTTCAGCTAAAGCATGCCTACCTTGAAGAAGACGAGTATGTCATCGGCTCCAAGTCCCAAGAGTAGAACTATCGACATCATGTTGATCAGAGGGAAGGAGGGGATCTTAAAGACCCGAGTGTAGAGGGCGTAAGCCACGACTAGGGACCAGGCGATGGCCAGAAAGGTGACAGCAACGATGCTGACACAGCCATCGGTCATAATGAGCAAGAGAACAGCCAGACAGCCGGCACCGAGCGCCAGCCACACTGAGTCTGACAGGAGGTAGTACCGTGAGAGGTCATTGTACACGCCTAAATCGATCGCCTGCAGTGTGGATAAGAAACAGAGGTTGATTGGGGGAGTGAATTGGCACCGTGTTTTTGAACTACAGTGTAACAAATGGTCACCTCAATAGTAAGCGGGACAGTCAGATTTTCGGTAAGTTTGGAGAGAGTTTGCGGATTGTCGAGAGAGGCGTCCCGCCACAACGCCAAGCCCACTTGTGGCCACACGGGCAGCACAAACAGCGTAGAATTCCACGCGGAGGTGCCCGTGTCGAGGGGTCCAGCGATTGCCAAGAGCAGGAGGAGGTGCGGATGGGCGAAGCACTCGCGCGGAACGCCCGGGCACAGCCAGTGTGAAGGCGAAGCGGCATCCCAACACGAGCGCTTCAATTCGCCAGAGAGGAAGAAGGCCCTGCACACCTGGACGAGGCTGTGCACGCGCGCAACGTCCGCCGAGGTGACCTGAAGCGGGCACAAATCAGGTGAGATTTTTGCATGAGCAAAACAAGGGCGGCAAGTGAATCTGAGCGGCGAACCGTTTCACAGGACGTCTTCCGGACAATGGAAGCGACGAAATTGGGCAGCGACCACACCGGGCAGCAGTGTGAATGCGGGTCAAACAGACTCGCTTTGGAGCACAATCGCGCGTAGCCTGGAAGTTGTTCAATGCGACGCTGCAGGTGGCACAGACTCTGCACCGCACCTGGGACAGTCGGGAATGTCTGGTTGGTGTCGATGTCGTGCAAGGTGATCACCATTTTGCCCATCGATGCAAACCGAGTCCACAGTTGATCGCTCTGTTGGTCTATCAAAGATCAAATTGCGAAAAAAATTAATCCAAAATTCGGCCGCAAAGCACTTGGAGAGTGTCGCAACTACGAGCGCTGACACATTGCCACTTGTGTACTAGCCGTCACATATTTCAGCATTGTAGATAGACAAATGTGTGTTCAAAACATCAGAGGAGAAGGAAAATTAAGAAAGTGTACGAGACGTTGACGACCAGGACGGAAGTAAACACGTTAAACCCCAAAATAATGAAAGACGATACGAAACATCCAACAGAGAGGAACCAAATGCTTAAAATGCTGGGTTTTCGCAGGTAAAAACAACGGATAAACCAGGAATAACATGATGGATGCTACTGGAGGCATTCCACTTCAGGAAAACGATATGTAGGAGTAGAAATTCGGTATCGTTGGAAGTCGGCTGCCGTGGCAACGGGAAATGTTTGACAAAATGACAATCACGAGGATAGTCAGACTGTAAGAAGTGGGCAAGTAGCTAGTTGCCTATCAGGAACTTGTGACAAATTCGGCTATGGGTGAGTGACTTCAACCAATGTCGCCACGTACAACCACATTTTCAGACGACTTTGTTCCCTTAGGCTGAACCAAATAATAAGCATAGAAGGACATGTGTTGGAATTAGTACAAATTCGCGTAATTTGGCATCCAAAACATTACCAAAATACGATCTACGCATTTACGATCAAAAAACCAACCAATCAGCTACCTGCGTGATTAGGCCGAGACAAACACTTAGAGAATAAGGCTCTACATCTAGTTTGGGCAAAGTAGCCATGACATACCTAGATAAATGCAAGCCAGCGACCACTAATTCTTGTCTCGAGCAATTCATGAAAGAAGACTGGAATTCTCAGATACTACGAACAATGCGTATGTAAGAGCTTGACGGTGCTCCATAAATGTAATTGGTGGAATTGTCGATGAAAGCGCCTGAAATCGATGTAGATGAGCCATGAAAAGAAGACCAATCTACGGTGTAGAATGTGCTCGCCTAATAAAGCGACGAGGTACTTTAACTAGATGAAATCGAAAAATGTAGAGAAGTGAAGTGGAAAAAACATAGAACAGGGATCATTGCATCTCCCATATTGTCATGTCACAGAATAACGAAACTATTCGAAAAGTAGAATGATGAGAGAAGAACAGATTTCTGGCAACTCGGTTAAATTATTTGAGTTCAATATTCCGAGGCAACTTAGAAATGCAAGTATTGATTGTTCATAGGTCAATAGATGCACTTGCATACCCTAAAAATGCACACACCTACCTGGTAACTCGAAACAGAAGCGAATCTCCTCCACAGCAGGAATCGACCTTGGGGTTCGGGCAATATTTTGATGCATGGACGGAACTGAGATGGTATTGTACTGCAGTGCTTTAAGCTGGTAAAGCCTGGCGGCCATAGGCGTTCCTATAGTGATAAACTCCTGTAAAGATATAAAAGATGTCAATGTGAAGGAATTCAAGTATAATGTTTTGAGATTACAGGTTACGTACTTTTGCTGGATCGTCAAACTCTGGCAGCTCTGAAAAGCACAGTGAAACGGTGAGGGATGATAATAGGAAGGCACCAGCAACAAACGCACAGATACGAAGATGCGAGGACAACCACGATGAATACCTATAACGTTTACAGAATGACAGAATGGAGTGAATATCGGAAAAGGAAGGTGTGTAGATGGGCACTTACATAAGAGTGAAACTTTTGGCACAACACGAGGTGGCGTTGACTTGGTGAAGAGGTTCCTGGTCCTCCGTATCCATCTCTTCCATTACGGTGGCACTTCCTTAAAATTAATGTCAGAACTCTAATAAACGGTAAAATTGACAAAAACAACACCCATTCTCCCCCTAACTTACAAAGAAATTCCGACCCACATGAATACGTGGATATGAATTGTTTAATTACAGTGTCTGAACCGCTGGGCATGCTTAAGAAAACAGGTGGCATGAAAGGTCTTAGCTCTATATATGCAGATACTCAGTTCCAGCCAAAATTCAAATAAAACTCAGCTATCGATAAAACTAACCATGGAACACCAAAAGTTAAGAAACGCGGCTACTTTTCAAGACCTGATGACGGTAGATTTTCTTAAAATTGAAAAAATCACTAATGCATTAGAGGAAGACCTAAAATGTGCTTTTGGAAAAAAAGTAATGACATGGCACGTTTTGACAGAAAAGAAGGCTGCTTCAGTAATGGATAGGTAGAGTGAGAACACGGACATAATTCCCGTCATGAAAATAAAAAAGGCAACATTAGATTTTGAAGAGGAATCAAGTGATAGCAATTCTGATTAAATAGTGGTTAACGGCCAAATATTTCGAGAGAAACCAATTTGGCACGCTTTTGAGGACACTAGTATGGCGTTCTGGGACTTCATTCAAAGTGAGGTGGACATATTGTGGAATATTTAGCAACTAAAGACTAAATATAAGGTAGTTCAAAAAAACATTAATGTAAAAATTTGGAACACATGGAAAAAAGCAAGACTAAAAACTTTTTGACTATTATCATAATCATAACAAGTGGTAAAACAGATAGACAAGTTAAGCATAACCAATGAAAATGTCGAAAATATGATTCCTTATCTTTACCTAATCGAATGGTTGTAAAATTTCATGTCAAAACTTTAAAGATAGTCATGTGTGGAAAGAACCTGCAAAGCAAAAAATTTACCAAAACCTGTACCGAATGAGCATCTACCTTATCCAGTTTGGCGCTGTGGAGACGCAAAGGAGCTTAAACATACTGGAGCACGCTGGCCTCAGCAAATCTTCTGTCACTCTGCGTTCTAATGGCATGTGTGGAAGATAGGCAGCCAATCCGAGGCAGACACTTCTATGAAGTAACTTTAAATGAGCGGCATGGTTAGCGTAGCGGACTCGGATAGAAGGCGCCCGACGTGTGTTTCTGGCTTGTGATTAGTCAGTAAAACCTGTTCTGTTGTACCAGTCTCCTTCATACTGGGGCTCGGGTATTCTACATTGGTGGCAGCGAATGTGTTCGAATACCGCGAATCGAACCCCAGCCCTTTCCCCACAATGGACAACAGAGGCAAAGACCCTTAAATGCCAGCTGAAGTTGTCATGGCGGTCATCTGATGTCCCATACACTGGATCCACAGACGTTGCCCGGAATTAGGACTACTGCATCTGAAGAGGCATTGGCAACTCAACGACGACAACGTGAACAGAAGAAATCAGATGGAATGCAAGTGGAGAAGGAACCAGCGACGGATGTAGCGGCCTTCGTGCAAGTCAACAAAAGCAAGGTCCCTCTTCAACTATTCGCTTGGGCCACTATCCTGCCAGATGTGGGGTATCAGGAAGTGTAGAACTGGATATTTCATCAGTCATGAACAGTGCGGCAAACTAAGTTAGAAGCTGAGGACTGCCTCATCCCTCGGCTCATTATTGATAGCAATGTGTGACTTCATTTCTTTATCATGTGAAATTAATCGTTGGTCACGTCAAAACCAATTTTTTTTATTCGTTTACATTTTACACTTTCCTTTTTTCAATGAACAAACGTTCCCGTTAATTTTTTGCAAGCACTTAAAACAATCATGCACGAGTAAAAATTTAAAGTGTTACTATGTAAAATATTGCAATAATGGGAAATCATTCTTTTAAATATATACTTCATCATGCCGTTTTGCCACCGCCACCTACGTACAGAAGTTACCAGATGTTATTTTCAGTGATCACACAGCTAATTTGGGTACAATCGAATTTGTACCCACTTGCGTATGCATCTAAACTTTTGGTTCTTTATATTCCATCTGAGCAACTTTAAGAAAAATAAAAAAATACCTTAAATGTGTAGTGCACACGAACGCAATTGCTTAATGCCATTAAATAAATGTAGCAAACAAAGACATATTTATCATCCATAAAATCTACCTGCCTAAATTGGGTCGATAAATTGCCACGGGATTGATAGAGACCTAGAACCTACACTGGAGCTTAACCGAAAAAGACTAATAACGTACCTATCACTATTGTTTCTGTCTATCAGCATTGCATACTTTATCAACAAATTAAAATAACATTAACGAATTTTACGCTTTCAACTATTACAAAAAAATTTACGATGACAAGATAAACCATAATAATAAAATAAACCAAAATAACTGCCAATAATGACATTAAAGAGGCAGCATTATCTTACCATAACTAGTCCTTAGGTCTTATAAATTTTTTAAATTTTGGCATTTAAACCTGTTTTAATTTGGGTACAAGAACCTCTCGTTAAATGTAGTTTCATGGTTTTAGCGTAAATCACTTTATCTGCTTGAATTTAATATGGGTGCTTGTCTTAAAATTCCAATAAATTTAATGTGGTTTGTATGATTGTTAAATGATCTTGGTAATTATTTGTCTTTAGTCGTCTGTATGCATTCAATAACGCTAAAAAGGATATTCATTGATGACTGATTTTTACATTTTTCTTGAATGGTATACCGCAATGATTAAAAACAATTACTAAAAAGCTATCATTTAATTTTTTTGTGCCTTTTTGCCTTTTGATGTATTTTCAAGCAATTTGTTAAAAGGGATATATTTTTTTAATTAACTTGTGATTTTGTTTAAGTATGTACACTCTAAGGTTATTCTCTGCGGTATCTAGTATTACTTCTGCAATCGTCCGTTCAAAATGAGCAAGCCGAAAGTTGGTATCAATGGCTTCGGTCGAATTGGCCGACTTGTCCTGAGGGCAGCTATGTGTAAAGGAACTGTTGATGTGTGCGCCATTAATGATCCGTTCATCGACCTTACTTATATGGTGTACATGTTTAAATATGATTCTACACACGGACCTTTTGTCGGTGAGGTGAAAGAAAAAGATGGAAAGCTCGTGATTAATGGCCACGCAATTTCTGTATATAAAGAATTAAATGCTGAGGCAATTCCATGGGACAAGGACGGTGTTTACTATGTTGTGGAATCAACTGGTGTAAATACCGACATGGCCAAAGCCGGGGCACACTTAAAGAACAACAGAGCCAAGAAAGTCGTAATTTCTGCTCCTTCAAAGGATGCTCCTACGTTTGTGTGTGGAGTGAATCTAGATAAGTATGATCCCTGCATGACAATCGTGTCGAACGCTTCGTGTACAACAAATTGTCTGGCCCCTCTAGCCAAAGTCATTCACGACAACTTTGGAATTGTTGAGGGCTTGATGACAACAGTACACGCCTACACGGCAACACAAAAGCTTGTGGATGGGCCAAATCCGAAGGGTTGGCGCGATGGTCGTGCTGGTGCACTGAACATTATACCTGCACAAACTGGAGCTGCCAAAGCCGTAACAAAAGTCATTCCTGAGCTTCAGGGCAAGCTTACTGGTATGGCCTTCCGTGTTCCTACTCCAGATGTCTCCGTCGTTGACCTGACTTGTAAACTTGCTAAACCAGCTACTTATGAACAGATTAAAGAGGCCGTCAAAGCTGCCAGTCAGACTCCCGCTCTGAAGGGCATTTTGACTTATACCGACGAAGAAGTTGTCAGCATGGATTTCCGCACCTGTACGGCATCGTCAACCTTTGACGCTATGGCAGGAATCGCATTGAATGATACATTTGTCAAGCTCATCTCCTGGTACGACAATGAATATGGCTATAGCTGCCGTGTCATTGATCTTATCACTTACATGTACTCGAAGGACAACTAACTCATATTCCTCGAGTCGCTCAGACTTTGAGTTAATTCACTACATTGTTCCGCCTAAATAAATTCAAAAAGTTATTACTTTGTGACTTGGTAAATGGGCTGCATTGGGCAGAGACTCGTTTTTTTTATAAATAAACCGTGTAGGTAGTTAGGAGAGTAACATTTTTCGGAGGTATAGGTAACTGAATCTAAATTATCAGGCAATCGTGGTGACTTAAAGGAAGTCGTCAACGGGAACTTAAGGCACGATCTTTGTTTAGATGCGCAGACGCACCTACGATGGGACTCTAAATTATCCCCGGTGGTGGACCTAGTTGTTTATGTGCAAGGGAGTTGCCACAATTCATGATTAAGTAAAAATGGCAACTTGTTAACCCTAAACCTCTCAGAGAGTACGAATGTGAAGACCCTCATCCACTGGAATTTAGTGTTCAGAACCATATAGCTTGTCGATTAACCCATGGAAAACTCTTCAAATTACGCCACTTTGCAGATGCCTCGTGCATCGTCAAATGATTAGCTACAGGGACAATCCACACTGCTGAAATTTCGAAAATGCAGAGCACCAAACCCATCTCTAATTGAGTGCCACCAAACATCAGGAAAAAAAGAAAGCACATAAACAGTTTCATGCTGTATACTTGAAAAGAAGAATCGGGTTTTAGCAGTCAAGTAACCAAGTCAAATGTATGGCGCCAGTAGTGGGGCAATCGCAAACCCCCGTGCGGCTCATTGTCCTTGCAGATGCAAAGTAGAAAAGTGCCAAACTAGTCAACAACTCAACTTGCTGGAAACCAGTTGAACAGGTGGTTTTGATGGAAGAAAACACGCTCGTGAATGAGGTGAATGCAAGGTGTATACACGTGGGTTAAAAGAGCCAGGAGCAATCTATGGTTTGGTAAAGACAAGACTAGTATATATGGTACAGAAGTAACAGGGCTAACACACATGTGAGTCGGGGAAGGTGTAAATGCAAAAATGGATTTGAGGCGACACCAATCACGTGCAGGAGGTGCTGTCGGGGGAGTGAAGCACAGGCACGCGGGAACCATGACACAGCCCCACGGGTTGCTCATCGTGTCGCCTTCGTCTGTGCGCTCGACCGACTGACTGGGCGGCCGCCAGCAACACCTCCAGGGGTGTTTGCGGGGCTTCAAGGAGGCGATCGATAATGTAGAGGCGCTGCTTGAAGTCGCGGTAACGATTGTACTCCCCGCGAAGTTCATCTCGATCTCTCTTCGAAGGAGGTCGGTCTGAAATTTAAAAGAAAAACCAACAATCGTGAAAACCCTCGGGGGGTTGCCATTAGTGTGTCAGAGAAAAAGAAAACCCTACTAGTTGCTTCCTGAATCCCCTTCTCAAAGTCGTGCAGTACGCGCTGAAGTTTGTGCTTGGCTGATAGCACCTCGGCGCGGCCAGTGGATAGCTCGCTGGGCGTCAGTTCCTGTGCGGTTTGCGTAAATCTGACAACAAAAAGAAAACGCAAATTGCCTCATCCCTCGGTAACCAGAGTAATTCCCTCGGCTAGCGCGCCTTCTACTTACTCGGCAAGACTGATGTCCCAGTCCAGAAAGACCGACGACGTGGCATGGCCGGTGGTCGAGGCAGTTTGTTCGGTGTCAGTGTGTGTGGAGGGCACGCTGGCGTCGCTGGTTTTTTGCGGCTCCAATTCGCCGATCGATATCGGATCGCAGGTGCCGGCATCACCGGCCGCCACCTCCACGAGCACAGGTTGATAAGACACTTCAACACTGGAAGTTGCCACCGCCGTGGGCAATTCGGCTGAGGTCGCCTTACTTCGCGAGACGGTTGCCGTGGCAGCACGAGGGCGCGCGTCGCGCACAGCTGAGTTCGACGCTAAGCGAACCAGCCGACGCACGGCCCGGTACCTGTCGTAGAGGGGTTTCATCACCTTCTTGGTGATCACATCGCAGGGTCGGCCCTTCTCCTTCTCAAAGTACAGCAGGCACTTCTGAAGATCCAATTTCTCCTGAGCCAACTTGATAACAATCGAAAATCGAATCAAACTCAACATACTACTGAAGCGACACAAGTTCGCAAAAGTAGTATTCACGCCAGACGGGCAGGTGAGGCGTGAAAACCGACTAACCTCTGCCGGAGACATCTGCTCAATTTCCGTGGGTCTGGAGCACTCCTCGCGTCGCGACTCGAGAACAGCTTGGAGTATTTTGAGGAAGGCCGACGCATCCATGTCGGTTGAGTCGAAGGGAAGGCTGATGTCCATTGGCGGCTTCTCGAGCAAGCGGACCTTGGCTGGTGCCACCAGCGTGTCCTCCTTGCACGGCAGTGGTATGTACACGTCCAAAGACCGCCGATTCTGGAGCTTTAAGACAAAAAAAAACAAATTAAGCAAGTAGACAAACGATTGGATATTTCCAGATTAGCCAATCGCGTCTTAGGATGGCGGGAGTCGACCAACCAGATTTACCTTGCTGAGGATGTTGCGCTTTCGTGGCCACGTGAACACGTGACTGGGTTTGGGCATGTCCGAGCACACCGGGATGGCGATAAGCACCTTCGGCGGAGCCGCCTGGGTGGTCCTGTCCAACACGTCGAAGCGAGTTCCAACGACGACAGTCGCACAGGCCTCCACAGGAGACGGCACGTGCGCCCTGTCGCTGCATGGGGGAACAACGTCGATCGGTTCGTCGGCGTAATTCAATACCTCGTGCAACAGGTCGACAGGATGGTAGCAAAAGTAGTTGTGTTCGGAATTATCACGAATCTAATAATAAAAACCAAGAAAGTTTACTTAACTAGTGGCCTTAGAATATCAGACCCCTGTACAATTACTACTGATTGAAGACAGTACAATTACTACTGATAGCATTTGCGTAGACAGTCTCAGTTGTGCTGTACCTGTTTGTGAGATGAAAGCACGACTGGTGGTGATCGGTACCTTGCACGCGGGAAAAAGTGAGTGGGGGAGGCGAGTGCAGTGGCATTTGACAGGGCGGCAGTCGCCTTGGCTACTTGACTAGCGCAGGCAGAAGGTGTGTGCTGGCTTATCACCGGCAGGGTGAAATCATCATCATTATCGTCTACAGCGTCGTCCACTTCGGTGTCGGAGGTTGAGAGAGCACGATGATGGCGTAGGCAGGCAGCATTCACCACCGACTAAGAAATAAGGTTTCAAATAAAAACCAAAGGTCAGTTTCAGATTTAATTGGTTGATTCGTAGAGCGATTGTTTAAATGTTGTCAATTCCGCATGTACGGCAAATTGTTGGGAACAATTTTGTGTTTAATAACCGCGCAAATTCCTACATTAAGCGTAGTACACGCCATATTTGCTCTTTTTGTTCTACGCGAATAGCGCGCCACTCGGCACCAATTCAAATTTGTTCATTGGGCGAGCAGTTCAAAAATCCAAATCATTGTTGTCGACGTATCAGGCAATTCAGTTTTAGGATGGCACATTTTAAATCACCATGTCATTGAAATAATAAAACCAGTTCGGATTTTTCTATTTTTAGCCTACTCATCCACTTTTTGTTAATAGCATAAAATGCCCAAAACGGATTTGGATGACCAATCAAAAGCCAGAACAGTTCCCCAGGTGGTGGCCATGATGGCTAAGCAGCCAACCAGAGACTGACACGTATAAGAAGAGGTATATAATGAGCGGCGTGGCCAGTGTGGTGGACTCGAGTGGAAGGGGGCCTGACGTGTGGTTCTGGCTTGTGATTGGTCAATTAAGTATAGGTATTTTACAATAATTACAGTTCTCTTCACCCATTCTTATCTCTGATTGGCTATTCAATCACACTGGGACTGGGATTGGCTAAACTCATGCTGTGATCTAACACGTCACCACAGCACAGCGATGAATGGTAATGGCCGATACGGATTTATGAAAAATAGAGCGAGATGAAAACGCATGTTATCTTTACGCCCCACGTTCTGACAAGGAACGCCATTACCACCACCATCACCATCAACGCAACCCATCTGTGTCTGGTAAATGAATAAACGGACAGGCACGAGGATCTAGTGAACTGATATCCCGGTTAATGCTGCTACCATTTACCCTCCGCCCATCCGACAACTGTGCGGTCTGACGTGACGCAGTACTGAAGTGATTCAGTGGAGCTAGACCAATGGACAGTTGGATTGTCATTCCTCCTGATTACCTCAGCCTTGGGGTGAAGTTGAAACTCAATTGGCTCACGTCATCTCAAAACACGTCGAATCAGGCAAGACGTCCGTGTGCGCGTGAGTGTGTGTGTGTGACGAAAGAAGACGGGCCAGAATTAGACTGAAATGCGGGCATGACCTGGAGACAACGTGCCGACGAGATTTCTGACCGCACACGCAGATCACTTTCGACCTGATCACTCTTTCGACACTGCTAGTACCACAAGTAGACCAGAGCAATGACACCTTCCACAGTGCATTGAAAGATCTTCAACAACGGTGGCTGACGACTTTCATCACGTCAGAGATACAGACGAATCGGCCGATAAGGAAAGTTGGATAAACTTTTTTCTTGGTGACGGAAGGAACAGAAGAACCCACAGTACATGCAGCTGGTGGATGTCCGACTACAGTGTCGCGAGGAAAGGAAAGCTGAGTGGAGCACCCACAAACCCACAACAAACCGTCAAAGGCGTCTGTTGAGTCGAGATGAAGGACCGAAGAAAACGACCGCAATCCATCACTGAATTACCGGATCTACGACTGACGTGTAGATGATTCAAGGGCCTTTGGATGGTGTAAAGGCAGTGATGTTGATCCCTATTGCCACCGAACACGTCGTGGAAGCAGGTTTAACAGCACATTCCGACGGCTAGTCAGCTTATCAGTGACTTGATCGGGCTGTCAATCACCAAGAAAATTGGTTCGATTGGAATGCTGATATGCCCAACCAGATTTTGAGGAGATGGTGATAAACAGTGGTGGTGTGTTTTTGAGGACGACAAATGCCACCTCGTGGAAGGCCTACGCGACATTAATAAATCCATTTTCGCAATTTACACGACACGCAAAAAATCTTACTTTGGTTTTTGAATTGCAGCTTTTGGGCATCACACTAGAACACCGACGTGAGCTATGAAACAGGGTTTCAGTCATATAATGGCATTCCATCCTTCACATAATCCGCGTCTTCTGAACCTCAGCGTCCCTATTGGTAGATTTGAAAGGCCCGCAAAAATCGATCAACAATTTGGCGGGCCTGCGATTTGATTGGTAGTTTCGTGCGTCATGTGTTGTCTCACTCGCCCAGCACGATTGCTGGACGCCACAGCTAAAACGTCAATCACTTAGGCAGAAGTGCTGTGAGGGGTTATTCGCTAATTGGATAGAGAGGTCGTGTCTTCAGACCCCTTGGTAATTGGTTGTTGGGGTAGCCAGCATCCCTCAAAGCTGTCCATAGCTTGCACAAATCCCCCGCCCTAATCTCACCACTCCGGTTGATGACCCAATCCACAACACCCTGTTGAACCACCAGTTCAAGGTCAATGTTCCATTTCAACTACCAGACACCTTTAATACACACGCACACACACACAACGCAGCCAGGTTGAGCTGTTTAGTAGTAAGCGGTCGTCTCAGCCATCTCTAGTCCTCATCTCCTAGATTTCTCGGGCATCTAGGTTGCGTAGACGGGCCAAGTGAACTAACAGTCGCCACCACCTTCTGCGGAAGCAGATTTTCCATCACATCAACCAGAGAGATTGGCGCTGAAGGAAACTGGGCAATGACGTCGTGGTGTCCGACCCGACAGAAACACACACACACACAGGGATCAGGTTCTGAATTTGCACAAGCCTGAATGAGGTCACGGATACCACCTGCTTGTCTGTGTCAGCGTGGCAGCCGACGACTATTGACCAGATGAGAGGGGGGAGGGTGGGAGAACACATGCGTGCGCCCCCCCCCCCCACATCTGGAAACCAGGTGTGATCGAGGGGCCATTCGATGATACCGCGAACAAGAGAATGAGCTGCTTTAGCAGATATTAAAACCGGTCCACCATTTGGTCAATTGCAAAGACACAAGTCGAATCCAACTTGTCGGGTGAGGCAGCGCCAAAAAAAACTGATTTGTCACGAGCAACTTCACGCCGTACACTTAAAGGTCAAGCAGGTTTCCCAGAAAGGCCAATTTCGACAGAGAACTTCAGCTATGCAAACAGGCCGACACAGAACATTCCGTTGCGTTGGAAACACGGGATGCAGAAATGACACCACGAAGCCACATAAGTGATTTGAAAACCGCCATTCAGGACAACAGATCCGTGATGCGGCAGATTGGAATTAACTAGGCACGTGGAGCAACTGGGTTTGAAGGGAACTTCACAAGATGGCATCTCCCCCCCCCCCC